CTCAAATTTTGTACAGAAATTGTCCAAAGAGTCCTCAAATGACGAGAAAAGATGTAAAAAAATGTCACTGTTACATGAAGTTCTAGAAAATGGTAAACAGAAAAAAAGCCTTAAACAGCAAAAAGATGGGAAAGTTCTACCAAAGATGCGAAAGGTGCAACTAGGATGGCTGCATTTTGATGTCAAGAAGCAGAGTTTTGTTTCTGTGAGAATGGCCAAGGGAGGTGGTACACGAGAGGTTGAAATTGAGCTAAATGCAGACAAAGACGACATCATTGGCATTGCCAAATCCATATTTTTCACCGATGGTCACAGTAGCTTTGGGCCTGAACAGCTGATGACATTTGGATTGGCCAATTTCCAGCACGAAGACATTTCATGTATTAATGTTGATTTTACAAAACTAGAGGAATTGGGAAGGCGCCCAATCGCTCACACACGTGGTTGCGTTCTTGAATTGCCTTCCACTTATGATACTTATGCAGAATTCCGCGCAGTGATTACATATGTTTTGGCCAAAGAAAAGTGGCAAAATGATATTATGTAACGATTTTGGTGTTACACGTAGCTTGCTTTGTACTGCGTCTTCTTAACTTGCACATGTTTATTGTTTTGTTATTTTCCTTAGCGAACCTTAACATTAGAAAACCGAGACAGTCATCTGTCAGGTTGCATCGTTAACTGACGAAAGTCCAATAAAATTTATCGTGTTCAAATTGAATTTATTTATCTGCCATGGTAAGAAGATAGACAAACATTTACCTCCATGGGGTTGGATGTGCCACGGCCGCTCTTGAAAGCGTCATCTGTAGATCTCAGTGAGACTCCACAGGTAACATAGCCCAGATTTTTATTTGTCCAGGCCCCGATTGTTCAAAGAGCGGATAACTCTATCCAGCGGATGATTCGCCAACCAGCGGATGAAGTGTAGAAGTTGTACTACATTTTGTCAGTTGGACGGCAACTTACCCGCTCTTTGAACAACTAGGACCTGACCGCTCTAAAAACGACAATGATCTTGGCAATTGGTTCGAATTCTAAGGAAACATTGCTCAGACGAGCTATGAGAGCAGACCCACAACGTCCGATGCTTTACCAACTTGTTCTAAGTTCACAGTAGGGACAGTGAAAAGTAGTTTATACGATGACCATAGGCTTCATTGCAGGCAGTATTGTTGTAGGAGAGACTACAGGTAAGCTGGAAAAAGACCATGGATAATCTTGAAAGTGATGAGCCGAACTTTAAATGTAATCCTTGACGCAATAGGTAGCCAGTGTAGTTCTCAAAGAGCAGGTTTGATGCGCTCATATTGTTTAGTTCCACTGATAAGGCGTGCAACGGTGTTTTGAATTCTTTAAAGTTTTTCCAGTTCCTGTTTTGGGAGACCATAGAGGATACTCTTACTGCAACAGTAGTCCTGACATGATGTTACGAGTGCGTTTACTAACAGTTTGAGATTTTCCTCCGTGATGTATTTGCGAATGCGACCTATGGATCTGATGTTGTTTGTTGCTTTCTTACATGTCTCGTTTATATGGCATGTCAGTGATAGTTTTTTTTTTTTTATCAAAATTAACACCAAGATCACAAATTCTCTCAGTTAGCTCAATGACAGTATTAGCAAAAGAGAGCTTCTCAATTTTA